GGCTGGCCTCATGTTTTGCTTTGGTGCTGTGTCGATCACCGGTGCCACCATCGTGCACGAAGATGAGCATTAACCCGAAGAAGAAGTTATGCTACAGGGATGGGAAAGACGTGCTTCGTTCCCAACTGCGATTCGGGGTACCGGAACTGCGCAGAGCGAGTGTCCTTGCTTAAAGCTCCATCGAATGGCGCTCGCCTAGAGCAATGGCGTCGTACAATCTCGAGGGCCGACTGCAAGTCACTACCAAGTCTCCTCATCTCGTTGACCAAGTGAAGACTGGGAATGCGAAGATGTCTGGACAGAAAAGGCTCAAGAAACTAAGGCTGTGGACTGCATGCCATCTTATGTAACTGGGTTTTTGAGCGTGAAAATAAAAAAAAAAAAAGCTACACTCTCCCCTGCATGCCAATCAGCTTTCAGCATCGACAAGAACACTTCTACTGAAGCAGCCCTGACAAACGTGAAGAACAGAGGAAGCCTTATACACCCCAACAAAAACCCTTTCCAGCAACTGAAGAAAGCGGAACAGTTCTTCGTGGAAAATAAAAGTCACCAGAGTGTTTACTGGGACACAATCGACAGTGTTCTTGACACATGCACAATAACGTTTCCATGCGCTGAACACAAAGAAGAAATAACTGCCCAGCTGCTCCACTACTACTTCAGCATGCGAATGCGACAATACTGTAAGCATATTACGGTGAGTATCAACAAACAAGCTCAAGAAATAAATAAATTAGCAAAGCAGCGCTCCTCTTAGTTTAAGGGCATGAGCGAGAAACACAGGATGTAGGAGGTGGCGTTCTTTGGTAGTATGCAGTGGATTCTGCTTTTATGTACATTTTGAAGCAAAAATACTTGTCAGGTATTTTTTTACCTGTAAGACGGAGTGCCACCATATTGTGAGAGTAGAGATGAAAAGTGATTTATGTCTTATAACCGCTACTATTGTTTGACTTTCAGTCACTGTGTCATCATGTCAACCAGTATGTCATCATACCGTGTCATCGTTTCAGTCACTATGTCATCATAAATAGGATTTTTTCTGCTCACAAGGTTTGTATGTTCCATGTTTATTTTATGTATAAACCATGTGTAAGGCTAAAACCTTTATGCGCATGTAAAGAATTATTTAGGCGCCCCTATGTAACATCATTAGAATTTTTTTTTTCAATAAGGCAGGAGCAGGGGGGGGAAATCACCCGACCCCATATAAAGCCACGCAATGTGTAAACAATTTACGGAACTGTTACCAAAGATGTTGATTGACAAAACATGCGAGTAAGACCCAGGTGTTTACTCTAAATTACTCTAATTTATTGAAGGCCCAGTGGAATATGCCGGGAAGTTTTATATTTATACGAGTATTTTTGTCACGTTGAGTCATCATCGAAATGTTCTCATCTAAAAAAAAACAAAAAAAAAAACAGGAACCGCACGGGGAAAAGGCAATCAGTGCCAGTGCGCCAACATAAATCCATAATTTCACCACACAGTACACAGGGACCGAGTAAAGAATGCATAATTTCCTTCAGAAGCCCTATAAACGAGCCTTCACAAGCCCCTCTATACGTGGGCGCCATCTATCCCCGTGCGAGTGAAGAGCGCTCGGTGCGCCGAACATAATGTGGTCGCCGCGCGAGACACGGGGTCATCACCTAAATGTATTTCTTCCACCATGGTTTACAGTGATGCCACCCTTTGTAGTTCCCGATGCCGACAGCACGCGCTCACGGGAAAAATACAACGAAATCGACGAAAACAAAATGTCGCCATAGCACAGTCAGCGCCACAGACGCGTGCAGGGACACGCTCTTTCACGCGCTTCTGAGCAAAAAAATAAATGTAAAAGTGGGAACAAAATGGCCAGATGTCTCCACCCTAAGCAAAGCGCACATAAAGGCACCCTAAGTTCTACTAGCTCTTTATCGCTGCACCGTTGATTAGTTTGCGTGCTGTAAAAGTTGAGGACGAAGAGTCAGTAAGGTCAATGATGAAAGCGTTGCGAGTACAAGCCAGTGTACGAGTGCATGCGATCAGTCCGATGATACAGAGCTATATTGGGCGCAAAAGGAGCTATCAAGTCTTGAAAAAAAATTTAGAATGCTCGCAGAAATTAGGATTGCTTGCGTACGACACGCCCAATTGCATTGTTGAAGGTTCGGACACCGAGGTGGTCGAATCATCGTATACTCGATCTCCAGGCTGAAGATGCTGCCGTCCCTCGGAAATGCATGCAGTGTGATTTCTTCTTCAGTTGCTGAAATACCGGGACAGTCCCTCACACAGCACCTTCTAGGAATTGTAGTTGATCACGCCAATTCACTGACTCCTCTTCTTCTACCTTTACAGCAACATTAAGCGATGAAAAGCAGATAGAGAAAACCTTGTTTGCTTGGATCGCTCGTGGAGGTGCGGAGAACAACAAATATATTTAAAAAATATCACACACGCCCGCGGTAAGCACGAGCAGGGATACAACTCACGTGACTTCCGCCGATACCTCCCTTCTGACCGGGGCTCGAGCTTTGAGAATCGCTCGAGCGGTCGTATTTCTTCGAGCTCCGCTGAATAAGCTTCAATACACCAATAGACCCTTTCCGGAATTCAGCCTGGCCACTTTGATCATTATCATCATCATCTGAAAACGGCATATGTGCTATACTAATGGCGGCCTTCTGTTTACTGATGGAGGAAGAAGTTGAAGATGCTCCTAAGCAGATGATTTGTGGCCTATACATTTTAGATGTTAGCGCGGCGTGAGGCAGGAATTGGACGCAAGAGCTGCGTAAGAGTTCATTTCTAACTCGGTCCCAGTCAATCTGTTAGTAACACTCATTCGGCTTCAAAGCCCCTTGATGTATAGAAATCTATCAAGGCGTCTATGCGGGTTGGCGCTTCGTTCCGACTGACTGCATTTGTTTCGCCATCGACACTATAAGAGATTGAAAAATAATTGTAGTGAAGTGCACATTCTCGTTTACCGTTGACCTTTAAGTGAAGGATCCCTATTAAATACTGCAGACCACAGGTTCATTGCCGCCATTAGTATAGTAAAAGATAAACTGCCATTTGAGTCACCAGATGGCACTGAATTTCGGAAAGGGTCTATTCTGGGAGTCATTTGTGATGTGAAAATGGCTCCTTGACTTTCCGGAACATCACGGGAATACGTCAAGTGAGTTTTCTTGCGAAGAAATCTAATTATTTTCGATACCTTCAAATCTAATCGCTCATTCACACTGGAAGCGGATCCTCGTTCGCAAAGCGGTTGCGAACGCGGTTGTATAACGATCCAGTGCAATTGCACGCGCACTCGATGACGTCAAGTGCGCGTGCAATTGTACTGGATCTTTATACAACCGCGTTCGCAACCGCTTTGCGAACGCGGATCCGCTTCCAGTGTGAATGAGCGGTAAGAACGGCAGGCCAGCCGAACCGTAAGCCCAACGTTGGGCTTAGCGTGGCATGGCGTCGCCAAGCCCCACGGCCTTGGTACCAGCCCAGCCCGCTATCGCAACCTCCGAAGCCCAGCAGGGAACTGTAATCACCCAGACACTCTCTGAATACAACTCTAACGTGGGGGCGAGTATTTTCGCTGAGCAGCGGTACATGAATCCGGCTACTACACGACACCCTATCGCCAAACCTACCCGGCGACGCGCTGCCACCGACGTTGCTTCACTGAATGAAGATGACGACAATGTTTCTAGCAAGAGATCGAGAAAACCCAGCGGAACCAGTACATGCTCAAACCTGTCTGACTTGTCGGAGCTCCAAGCTGGAACCAATATGGACACCTACGAAACGAGCAATGGGCCCGAAGATACGAACGATGACTGTGAGCAGACGTGGCAAGAAGTCCATTATAGAAAGAAGAAACAAAGGGCAAGTAAGAATCTTTCCAATTTTCTTACTGCCGCGGCTATGAACCCAAACAGCGACCAACTAGAGGAACGCTTCAATGTCGTCTTCCACTCGAAGGAACCGTACGATCTCGCAAGCATTCCAGCAGCATCTCTACAAAGAAACTTTCTAACGAAACTAGGCCTAAACCTGGCCGCATGCCAGAAAACAGAGCTACCGACATTCCGCGTGAACAAGGCAGCCAACACAATTACCGTAACGGTACGAGATCGAAAATACGTTGCACTACTGCTCAAGCTGACGCCGATTAAAGCGCCCGAGAAAGCAGTTGAGGTCGTCGGACACGAAACGCCACCAAGGGACACGTGCAGAGGAGTAGCACACGGAATAGACCCGCAAGAGACATCGAAACAGCTAGAAGAAGCTCTTTCAAGCCGATCCCACGAAATCATACATGCTAGGCCTCTCGGCGGTCGAGACCTCGCCCTTGTCAAGTTCGTGGGCAAACGACCACCGACAAGCATTGTGTATCATGGCCTCATCATACGAGTCACACTCTACAAACCAGCAACCATGATGTGCCAGAGGTGTCAAGACCTCGGGCACAAGGAAAACGTATGCACGCGCAAACCCCGATGCAGGGATTGCGGTTGTATCTTTCTAGAAGGACACGTGTGCGAACGGCAATATTGCACCAACTGCAAAGCATCAACCCACTTGGCCGCAGACCCAACCTGCCCCGCACGCCAGCGTGTCAATTTGATACTTCAGGCGAAAGCACAATGAGGAGGAGCCAGGGGGAGCAAGGGAAAAGGAGGAAGCACCTCAAACACGCAGAAACCGCCGAGGGTAACGCTCGAAGACTACCCGACACTGAAACAACCAGGCATTATCTCAAACAATGAAAGAACTAAGAACGACGCCTACCATGGAGCACGCACCACTGAAGAAAAGTCTAGAAGCCAGTCGCGCCAAAACTTGAAGGAACCAATTCTCGTCACCGTTCACCATCTCTGCGGCACAACAACCACCGAGGCCCCAGCTACGCACACACGGCCCGCAGAGATGGAAACAAGGGTTACTACGCTAACGACGAAGTAGAAATCAAGGCCTGGCAGAAGGAACTCCACGCCATGGAAGCCGAAGACAAATCAGACACAGCAATCCTGAAACAAATGAAAGCAGATCTCCTTAAATTTGAGAGGAAGATCGAAGAGGACAAACAAAAACGAGAAGCCCGCAAGGCAACTATCGCCAGGCGTCTCAAGGAAGCAATGGAAACCCGCAAGGCAATCCAAGATGCGAATCAGCAAGAACGGGAGCAAACCCGTCGAGAAGCTTCGCAGGAACATCGAGTAATCTCCACCAGGGAGCCCACTCCACCAAAGCAAGCGGCACCAACGAATCAGATAAACTGGCAACAGATGTTCCTCCAGTTTCAACAACAGATGAACCAACAAATGCAGCAAACGCAACAACAGATGCAGCAACAAATGCAACAAACACAGCAACAAATGCAGCAGTTCCAGCAAACAATCCTCCAGAAGCTTGGACCAGCACCTACGACAAGTCAGGCCATGCCCGAACATGAGTGCTAACCGCGATCGGACGGGTACGTTGCGAATCCTACAATGGAATTGTCGCAGCCTCCCACGACGCAAGTCCGAACTACTCGTGCACATCAAAGATTATAAGTTTGATATCCTCCTGCGACAAGAAACTAGAACAAACGACATCGAACTATCAGGGTACTTGAAATTCTCAAATCCCTCCATTAAACGACAGAATTTCACAACTGCACATATCAGACCTGGGGAATGGGAAGTCAGGGCACAAGTCAACCTGTTTGTAAGCAAGAACCTGCCGTGCATTCAGCTGGATACATCCCAGTGGTGTTTAGACTCCCAAGAGATTACTGCAGTAAGAATTGCTCTCCATACAACCAAGAGACGACTTGGCAGTCAATGGAACTTTGAATGGATCACCCACTTAAAGAATGAATACCCGGATGACTACCTCATTCTGGGTGGAGACTTTAACACCAAACTCGAAGACAGGAACAATAACCAGCTTAACCAGAAAACCAGAAGACTCCTTGAAATCATAGAACACAATGAACTCGAACTCGTAAGCGACACCACCAAACCAACGAGGCATGCTACAGCAAGCAATCAAACTGACTCCATCATCGACGTCACTTTAGCAACCCCAGCAACAGCCCGCAAGCTCAGCTGGGACACGATGCGGGATGCGTGGGGTAGTGATCACTTCCCGATAATTATTGATGCGGCAATCGGAAGCAACAACCTCAAACCCAAACGTCCCACTCAAACCATAATCTGGGACAAGTTTAGAGAGAACTTAGAAGAGCAAAGGGAAGACCTGCAGCCACACCAGGTCACCGCACTGCTAACGGCAGCCACCCACCTGGCCACTGAAGTAAGGGTAGTCAGGGATGACACACCTGAACCAGACTACCACCTCCTGGCCCTTTGGGACAAGAGAACCAGAGCTCTGGAAAAGTACCGTAAAGGAAAATTAAAGAAACATCTCGACAAAGTCAACCGACTAACTGAGGAGGCTAGCAAATATTCATGACAACTAGCCACCGAACGATGGTTGGATTACTGCGAAACCTTCGACAAGAACACCAGCATTGGGGATGTATGGAGAACGTTCAACTCTATGCTGGGCAAACGAAAGGGAGTCAGCCCCATTCCAGTAATAGCCCTTCTCTCCAGCGAAGCAACAGAGGACATCCTAGACAAACTGGGGGAAACTTTCTTCCCGCAACCCACCACCAAACCAAAAGCCGGGATATATCTACCCAAGCATGCAGGACCATCGGAAAAACCCCAAGACCTCCCCTTTACTGAGTGGGAACTTGGAGCTGCGATTCACCACTGCCGAACCAAAAGTGCACCAGGCCACGATGGCATTACTGTCTCAATGCTTAGAAATGCACCCCATACAACCAAACTCGTCATCCTAAAATGGTTCAACGACATATGGGAATCAAGGCAGCTGCCCGAAGAATGGAAGCTCTCCCTCGTCACTCCCATACCCAAGCCAGGGAAACCAGCGAGGGACCCCAAAAACGTACGATCGATTTCGCTTACATCAATAATGGGTAAGCTCCTTGAACGTACGGTGCTTGCCAGAATCCAATACAACGCAGAAAATCTAGGTATCTTCCATCCCACGCAAACAGGTTTTAGGGCAAATCTCAGCTCTCATGACAGCTTATCTATGATCTATAAAGACGTCGTTGACATGCACCCAGCCAAGAAACAAATGCGAGGGATTGCATCCATAGACATCAAAAAGGCCTTTGATACTGTCCCTTACGAGTCCATAATAGACAAGATGGAACAACAGGGTCTTGACGGAAAACAACTCGACTTCGTCAAATCCTTCCTCACGGGACGCACCTACAAGATTAGAGCTGGTTGTGGCAAAGACGGCAGGAAAGGACGCACACACGAAAACAACATTGGCGTTCCGCAGGGAGCCGTACTATCCCCAACTCTATTCAATATAGTGATGGCACCGCTCTTATGGAAACTGTATGAAATTCCCCACCTCAAAGCCACTGCGTACGCAGACGATGTGACCTTATGGACACACGAAGGGAACCCCGAACTGCAAGCAGCAGCCCTGCAAAGAGGACTCAACACCATCGAATCATATCTTAACGAAGTAGGAATGTACCCTTCACCTGAAAATACAAAGTACACAATATATGGAAGGAATCAGAACAACAAAAACCTAGGGCTTACCTTTGCCGGAAACCCAATCCAACGAGAAGACTCCATAAAAATTTTAGGAGTAAACTTTGGATACTCGCCAAAGAACACCACAGCCTGGATCGCCGAAATACTTAAAAAATGGAAACAAGGCATTAATTTGGTTAGGCGCATCTCACCCAAGATGGGCGGCGCTGGGGAAAAGACTGCAAAGAAGCTGGTCATGTCAGTGCTAGTCTCAAAAATTACTTATGCGGCGGGATTTTATCCCCTCACCCGGCGACAACACAACCGACTGAAAACCTTGCTAAATGAAGCAAGAAGAACCATCCTCGGACTCCCGAAACACACCCGTAGTGAAGAGCTGGCCAAGTGTATCTTCATCCCGGATATCGCTGATCTGATCCAGCAGCAGAAAGACGCTCAAGCCTCTCGCCTACAACATACAAACGAAGGCAGGATGATTGCGAAATTCATGGGCGTACAAATCCAGGTAGATCCTCCAATCCCCAAACGACCCCCCCCCCCCCCCCCCCATGGGAACTCATCGATGTGACAGAAGGCTCCAAACCCCTACCTAAGAACATGGATGCAGATAGACACAAGAAACGCCGGGAACATTACGCAAGACAACACAAGAAAGACTTAGCACAGATACTAGCGACCCCTAACAACATGGTGGCTTACGCAGACGCTAGCCTCGGCACCACAGGTTGGGCCACTGCAGTCGCCTACCTCAAGAAACACGCAACCTGGACAGTGACCCAAGGCAATCCCCTAGGCCATCACACACCAGAATATGCGGAGTGCAAGGCTGTCCTGCAGGCCATTGAAGGTGCTACACCCTACTTAGGAACTGACCAGCAGCTAGTTCTCTATACAGACTCCCAAGAAGTAGTTAGGGAACTTAGACAACACAAGTACTCTGCAAGTCCCACCATAAAAGCTATCTTTGACTCCGCAATCCGACTATACCGGAACAAGGGGGCCAGGATCAGCGTCAGGTGGGTCCCCGGACATGAGGGAATACCCGGCAACGAGCTTGCACACGAAGCCGCGCAGCAGGCGATGAGAAACCTCACGCAACCGTCCCTGCAGCCCCGGCCTTCGGACGTCAGCCCGTCACACCCGCAACCGAGCGATTGCAACGACAATCCTCATGAAGACCAGGATACATACGACCCTGTTGAAGAACTGCGCATAGTCCAACGAACAAGGAAACGCCTCCTAGAGAGATCCTGGTCCCCAGAAGAACACCCTATCCCGAAGGACACATTTCGAAGAAAAGAAATCGTGCTGCTACGGCGCATTCGCACTGGCGGAGCGATGACTCCTAACCTCCAATACAAATTCGAACTTTACGCCCTCAAGAAAAAACACCCTTACGCAGTACCACCTGACCCCCGGTGCAAACTTTGCAGGGAGGAGGACTCGCGCCCCAGTTTGCACCACATATCTGGGACTGCGAAGGGCTCAAAACTTACAGGTGCCTCATCTTCAGCAAGATGAAACAAATCGACCGGCCGAGCAATCTCCGGGACTGGACACACCCGGCGGGTGAATCCCAACGAAAGACTCGGGTGCTGAGATCACTATTAGAGTAAATCTCTACAGGCGGCCTGACCTCCTGCATTTAAACCCCCCACCCCGATTTCCCCAGAAGACGACGCCAGACCACAAGGTCACCGCGTTGCGATGACTTCGGTCATCGGAGTTCTTTTTCAATAAACGTTTTCATCCATCCATCCATCCCTTCTGACCGCCCCGACACCTTGCGGTACACTGTTACGTCACAGTGCACTGGCGGGAACTTTGAATTAGGCCTCGTATTTCTATTTTTATAAAAAAAAAACTACGCACTTCTATTGTGAAACAATTTTTTGTAATGTCCTGACATGCCATTTCAACGCCTAGAATGAAAAAAAAATTTTTTTTGGGCGTGTCAGAGGCTTTTAAAAGAGCAAATAAGCGCAAATATGGAAAAAGGACGCGATATATGGCCATATAAGGTGATGCATATATTCATGCATTGGACTAATTATTGCCATCTATGGGTATATGTAGTCCCATATTTGGCGTGCTTTTTCCATATTCCACAGTGTCTGGATCTTTGTAGTTCCTTATAGGGCGACCTCTTCTCATATTTAGTCTTATATGTAAATATTATGTCCCTTTTTCGACGCATACAGTGCATTTTTAATGAAAAAAGTAAGGCCAGTTATTTGTTGTACAACCATTTATCAAAAAAATACATCCTTGCAGTTCTCAATTTTGAATCTCAAATCCTAAATTATTTTTTTAGAAACTCAATCTGTTTGTGACAGTGATCTGCATAAAGCCTTGCAAGGATGGATTCGTAACTATGGCTCGCCTATTTCTGTCTGAAGCATATAAAGACAGAAGAATGGTATTGTTTCTATATCAATTATGTATTTACATGTGCATGCACAAATTTCTTGTAGATCACAAAACAAATTCACATGCTCGTTCGTTCAAAATGTCTTTCATAACTTTACCATCAAAAGGATAAATCAAGATGCAGCTTGGATGTGCGTAAGCCGTCAAAAGAGGCTTAAAAACCGGGCTTGTCTCAGTTTCTGGTAGTCAAATGAAAGCAGTGAACGGGCCTTCACAACGGCGCTGTTACCCTTTTGCGACTTCATGCGACAACGCCTGCCAATGCTGTTTTATTGAGAAGAAAAAAAGCTATATGAATCTTCAAGTGGCCATAAGAGAATTTTAAGTTTACGCACTGTTAGTAAACTGACTAAATTTTAAACCAAGCTTCTCAAACCTAAAAAAGAGTGGAAAACAAAAAGAACAAACGGAAAAAAGTAACTCGCCAAACTGGT